AAATCTAGCCGTCAAAATGAGACGTCCAAAATGCATCTGCAGGATTTCGTTGAGATTATCTGCCTTGCTCCGCCCCCCGTTGGCCATAATGTTATTGGAGCCGCATTCTGGAATTGTCATATGCACATATGTACAACTACAGTTGTGTTCAATGTGGTATAAGCTGACGGCTCAGTGTCACTTACACTCATTCATCATCTTTTTCCATCCGTAATTCCTTCTCTTTTTATAGTTTCTAAGCCCATTTTGATCCTTCTTAGCTCCTTTCCATCCCTTTTTCCATCCCTTTCTGCCGCTTCATTTGGTTGGATGTAAGTATTAAGAAGGGGTATTGAGCAGGTGAGTTAGATTTGGTAATCAAGCTGACTGGTCGTCGTCACCATGGCAACGATTGGAACGTATCCGATGCACGACATGCCGTGAGAAATCCTCGTTTTCCTTTGGATTGAGTCAGCTTTTAGCACTCAGCACACGTCGAACGGACAGGTTCTAGTCGTTTAGCACTCACCTTTTACTCTTAGCTCGTCGTTTTACTCTTCTTTTGGAGGAGGCTACGACTTCGACTTGCATTCTGAATCGCAGTCTTTTTGAAGTGCCCAGTTTTTCCACGTATCCGCTTCACCTGTTAGCTTACACAGTCACGCTTGTAAACTGTCTGGACATTAGCGCCCTTTAGTCAGCTCTTCTACCCATATTATTTGCGACCGATTTTTTATTTTTTAATTCACTTTGTTTATTTCTTTAACAAACAAGGCTGTCGCTTTTATTGCTGAAATACTTCCCGCGTTCACTTGGTCAAGACTATGCAATTATAAGATTTCACTTATCCCGCAATCCGTGGCCGCAATCCGGGGTGACGGCTGGAAATGGCTCACATACGGGTGCGCTTTCTGCCAATAGGGTCCGGTTCAGGTAGAAAATGGCCAATAATAGAAAACGCCGCAGGTGTGCTTATCCCATCCTCTTGGAGCCGCTCTGCCGGATTGCGACCATATCAGCTGTGAGTGCGATTCATACCGCAGAAAGTAGGGAATTCCCAGGCAATGTGCATCCCATGATATTTTCGGACCAGTTCGGCTTGGTGGGGGCATTTTACTGGTTACTATCGGTCACTGCCGACGCCTCCTGTGGAGAGCAGTGCATTCTTGTGAATCTATGCAAAACTTCTGCTTTCTCTGCACTTGACATGACTCTATGCCTCATCAAGGTGAGACTTGTGAACAGGAGTTAGTACGGGATGTTAGCAAACTGGGGTAATGACCCCCGAAGCCGACCGCGCTAGATTTTCTTTGTTGCTCAGTTTTCACGGCATGTTCACCTTTAACCTCTGGCCGGAGTGGCTCGACAGACTTTCTATTCTAGATGGTTCTTCGAATATTGCTCTTTGAGTAGATGTCAGACAAGACCGCGTGGTGGGCGTGCAGAACGACGCCCCGGACGAGTTGCCTCGCCTGGACCTTCGAAACGAAGTATTGACGGGACGGAAAATTTGATACCACCCGTCATTAAGTGCTGTCTCGCTCGAATTCGTAGTTCTGCTGCTCCAGTGGAAGAACTGGCGCAGATCGAGATTGTGCCGCTCATCGCCGCAATATACGCCACGCGCGAGAAGTCAACAAATTACGATTGTCTTGTCCGTCTCCCAGTAGGCTTCCTGTTTCGTTAGCCCACCTGCCCACTATATACGAACCCTCCCACATGAAAGAAAGCCTAGGAAAAATGTCAGCCTCTCATCCGCCTTACTAATAAGACGTGGTGTTCGATCTTTTGCTGAAAGCAAAGCGCAGCCACCAAGCCATGACTCACTCGGCTTCATCCGCCATCTCATTCCATCAAAGTACTGCAGTGAAGCCATTTTAACAGCGCTGTTTTGGTCGAGCGGCGGATGTTCTTTCACGTCTGGGCTAAGCTAGGACATGACAATACGCCATATATCAACTTTATCGACTCTTAAGGATCTCTTGAGCGTGAGGGGAGAAAAGGACAGTGCCCTCAACCACTGCACCATCTTTTTTTGCGTGTCCAGCGATTGTGGCCTCCCTTTAGAAGTCTTTGGCGAGTGTGGTCACCCGACTGCGTTACCTGACATTTTAGGTCCTGATATGAGGGTGAA